ATTCATTTGTAAATTTTTACTCTATTGCCAAATTTAATAATACTTTGATTGCAAATATATAGTACTTGCAGAATCCTTGCAATTATTGAAAGCAAATTATATGCATTTTGCCCCCCAGTATTCAATTTATTGTATTGACTTCAGATCTCAATGTCAAAATCCTGGAAATTATTTTAACCAAGAAACGGTAGTGGGAACCCATACATAAACAATTCATCTAACATTTCAACAATAGTGATAATAAAATAAGCCAAAAAATGAGAAGGAATGTAAACGATATTCAGACTTATTATGTTACCACGGAGTATAAAGACTCCGTGTATATACTTCCGACTTTATACTCCGTGTATGACTTCCTCTCCGACTTTATACTCCGTGTATGACTTCCTGTCCGACTTTTTACTCCGTGTATGTTACATATATCTTCGGCAAACATTCAGATTTCAATTTGCGTTTCTAAGTTATTATTCTCAAACTATTATTTATTTTTTAATAAATTTCCACATGCTAATGATTTTCACATTATGTTACTGTAATTTCAACAATTAGCCCAGGAAAACAAAATCTATATATTAAATTAGAAGTGAAATTTCTTTTCCATATTCAAAACATCTGCACTGGCGATGTTTGGTGACGGGTACATTAACCCTAGACAAATTTAATTACAGCTGTTATGATAGAAATCAACAGATACTTAAGGACTCATTCAATTGAAACATTTAGTGAGCGTTAGTCGTGCGAGTCATCAGTTGCGATTGGTTTTGCTGTTTTGGTATACAGTTGAAACACAACGATCTGAGCCAACACCTTCTTCCTTCTGTTAGGAGGTGTTATCTGAGCTCGCGACCGATCGTTCTCGTAGCAATCACTGCAAGCCTATCATTCCGCGACGAAAACGATCGAATCAGTATGGCGGCTGTGTTGTTTGTGCTTTCACGAATTCAAGTGTGCTAAGGTACCTAGAATTTGAGGGCAATCCTTTAGATATTTTGGATAGGCAGCAATTTATGTCAAAGTATAGGGTATATAAGGATTCTAGCAAGTGGAGTATGGCATCGAGGCCTTATTTACAAACTAATCACTCTCAATTTTCCAGATAATTTTATTCGCTTAATAGCCTCTTTTCTCAGCAACAGAACATTCAGAATCGAAATTGGTACTGCTTACTCAACCACCAGAGTAATCAAAGCTGGTGTCCCACAGGGGTCGGCCCTTTCGCCTTACCTTTTTAATATTTATACACAAGACATCCCTAAAGACCCTTCTGTTCATTTTGCACTCTTTGCCGATGACACCGCCATACTTACTAAAGTCGGCACAGTTATCGCCGTAATAAACCAACTCCAAAACTATCATAAAACTGAAAAAAAGGCTCACCCTTTGGAGGATTAAAATTAACACTGATGGAACCAAAGCAATAATTTTCCGTAAGGGAAACCTGAAATACTATCCTCCACCCCCTGAAATATTTGATGAAGAAATAGACTGGATTAATGGAACCAAATACGTTGGAGTCACCCTTGATCAAAAACTTACCTTCAGAACCCTCTTCCGTTCCGTAGTACAGAAATTAAAAATCACCACAGCTACTATGCGACCTCTTCTTGGTAGAAAAAGCAACTTATCTACTACAAACAAATTAATTTTATATCGCTCCATACTTCGTCCAGCCCTCCTTTATGCAGCTCCGATCTGGGGACATGCAGCTAAAACCAATATTAAACAATTACAAATTCTGCAAAATAAAATTCTACGAGAAAATTTACAATGCTCCTTGGTATATTCTAAACATCTACATTCACAGAGACCTTCAAATCGAACTTATTCAAGAGTATATTAAACTACGAGTATTAGCGGTCAACTTCTTTTATTCAGTACAAACCGACAGTAATAGCCTTATTAACTCTCTCAGACACTCCCCGCATCCCAGTGAAAAACATCGTTACCCATGTGACATCCTACCCACATAAGAATTACAACCTTACTTAATGACTTATTCTAGCGCGGACCTGACTCTCTTTTCCCCCTCCCACACTACTCTTTCTCCTCCTCCCAGATTCTTATCAGAAGTCAAGTAAAAAGATGTTTCTACTTCTTGATACTCGAGAATAAAATACGATCTGTGGGACTCATCATCTGTGTTGTATCCAAATAAAGGGCACTTGTTGCTAGTGAACATTGATATAGCATTGTGTTGTTCACATTTGGATTGCGACTTAATTCCGAGGAATATGGTCAAATGCGCTGCATCAAATTATTCATATCGTTCCAGAAATAACTTAGTATGTTCTGTTTACCGAGAAAGGAAGAAATACGAAGAAAATGGGTAATTAATTCTCTTCGATTGGAAAGATTTCCGAGCACAGGAGCGTGCGCTTTTGAAGTAAGTTCAGCTTGGTATGTTTTCATAATCGTTAAAAAAATAAGTGTTCGAGTTTCAGCAAAACGTGTATTTTCATTTAAGTGTTGCTAATTAATGACAGATTGATTTATATGTACAAAATGAATTGCAGAATGTGTCTGTATAATCAATACACAGGTACTGAGTTATGAAGTCGCTAAGTCAATGACGATGGGATTTTTAATTCATTGTACGAAATAAAAAGGAAGTATTGTAATCGAGAAAAATTTCGGGTATCATATTTTAAAGAAAATACCCATTTTGACTACTATCGAATGCAATTTAACGATGTTTTTGCGTGACATCTATAGGTAAGGACAGAATAAAGGACCCTTTTTCCCCCAAACGAATTGTAAAACCGATTTAAAATGGATTCAGAAGAGATTTTTTTCGTGGCATCTGTACGTACGTGCGTACGTATATACATATGTATGGTACGTATCTGTATTTTGTATGTGAGACTGCTATAACATGTAAATGTGCAACTCCCTTTTTGGTTGCAATCGGCAGCCCCGAAAGTATATATATAATTTCACTTTACTTGCACATTATAAATATTTGAGAAGATATCAACTCTAAATGAAGGAGTAAATAATATTATACTTATTAGGCAAAGTTGAGCGCCTGTACCATATTCCCAATTATCTCTTCGGCAATTATTTACCCCAATTTTTTTCTTTCGTTTTTAGGAAATTTTACCAATATATAACATTTTCGTGAGTGATATGAGAAATTAATAGCTGCACATCTGACCATTTTACACAAAAAGCACAATAAATTGTTGTACCGCTAACTATGCAGGCACCATTAATATCCCCAATTGGGCTCCCGAATGCTAATGATGGAAATGTAAATGAGTCTCTTTTTTGCAAGATTGAGTTTGGACAAGGTAGAGACTTTCATGATTTCAAAAGTCTGATTTTTAAAGTCATTATTTAAACTAATGAACTTATTCACGTTGCCTAAATAAAGCGGTTCATATTAAGATGACTAATGAGTAAAGACATTATAAAAAAATCCCTTATCAAAGTAATATGATATGATCAGAAATTTAACATTATTTCACTAAAATTGAAAAAAAAAAAAAAAAAAAAAAAATTCTTAAAGAAAAGTACGTTGTCAAACAAGGAATCGATAAAGTAATTATACACAAGGAGGTTAGAATAGAAGGATGGAAGGTTCGCAGTTTCCTCCACTATCGGGGAATGAAACTCCACCAAACAAGCGGCGTCTATGTTTGTAACTTCAAAACATTGCATTACGGCAGTGAAACGTACGTGTTTTTAAGCTGTTCCGTGCATGTATTTTCCACTAAAAATATGTAAAATTTATAATGAAATACTTCGCTATTGTTAGTTTTTTTTTTGTTTTAAAGTTATAAAGATGATATCCGTAATTTACTACGTACAGAAAATCATTAAGAAATAGTTCGAAATCTAAATGCATGTTCATTACACTAAAGCCATATTTCAAGAATTTGCTTAGGTTTTATTAGGAACCTGTTGGGTGTACTTTCCAGTTTTTTCCTTTAAGAAGCGATATTTTTTATTTATTCACAATATTGTAATTTATTAAAGAATCATTTAAAATATATTTAACCTGAAATTAATAGCAGATAATTATCTAAAAAAATAGTCACAGGTTGCATTTTTATTTATATGAAAGTTTTAAATAGATTCCAACCAACAACAAGAAAATAAATATTAATAAAATAAAACAGATTTATGTGAATTCAGATGATTTCAGTTTATGCGCGTTTCATATTTATGAATCTCAAAGAAATTGCCTTGAATTAAGCTGAATTACAGAAATATACCTATACCTATATTTTGGATACATCTTTCCGTACATGTTCAATTGTGTAAATATTTTACTTACTTTTATCGCTATATTGCCCAGAAATTTGTAAATTTATGCAAAAAAAATTTTCAAGAACAGAAAAGTTAGTTTATCTTGATCAAATGCACAAATTATATTCTTAACAGTTCAAAAAACTTAAAAATGAATAATAATTAATACATAAAGAAAAGCATTACTTTATTTAACACCTTTACAATTCATAAAAATAGTAACAATTGGTGTCTTACTTTTCATGAAAATTATCAAACGAATTATCTAAAACGTTCAAATTATACAGTTTAAATCCTAGCATACATCATTGTATGTTAAGGAACAAAGATGCCAGCTATAAACTGAAACAATAAAATGTATTTAACATATTTTGATTATTATTAAGTCCTTTTTTTACGTCTTGAAAGAAAACAACATGACGTGATATTTTTTACCATAGTTATCAAATTACATAAAAAAAAGAAAATGAATACTTACGCGTGAAAAGTAATCCCAGGAATCTTTTTCGAAAACCTGTTTGTGCATCCATATACAACACAAGCTGACATGCTTTAAAAAGAAAAGAAAAAAAAAATATTGCAATTACAGACTATCTTGCACAAGTCACAGCGATAACAGGAAGATGGCCAAGAAGCTTCCCTCCTGATTATACCAGCAGTAGCTTGAGCTGGTAAGCCGCAGATTTCAAAAACGCGTTTCTGCGCAATTTACGGAACTTCGCTCGGTTGTTGCAAAGAATCTCTTGTTGTTGTTAACCTTTGGCTGCTGGACGTTCAGACACTTCGATAGCTGCAGAGGAACAGTTTTGTTTTTATAAAAGTTATTGTTTTTATAAAAATAAATCTGTTTATTTTGCCATCGGAAATGTATCAACTATTAAAGAGTAAAGAGTGCTAAAATCATGTTAATTAATTTGAATATGTTTAAATTCTTGTAACTAAAATAGGTGTTCTTGTGACAGTTCTTTTATCGTCTGCTATGCTTACTAGCTCTGAATTATTTAAAACATTCTATGGTGTCAACTGACCCTTCTTTATTTAAATTTTTACGGCTTTTATCTTAGAAATTAGAATTTTCAATCTTTGTAACAAATGTATTTCAAATATTGTTTATGCAAGCTTTATTTATAACTGATTGGCAAGTTTCATTTGAAAGAACTAGACATTTTCTGGTTTAACGTCCATTTTTCTGCCAGCATTATTTAAAGATTTTTAAGGGGCCTGCAGAATAGAGCAATATGACGAGGAAAAATAAAATACAAGTAGGGGAAGATTTTCGTATTGCTGTTCATATCGCAATAAAAAATTTCCGTCATAATGAAGAACAGAAAGGTATGTTCAGTTTTTTATGCTATCTTATAATGCTATGCTGCTATATGCATAAATTTTTGTAAATTTCATGTTATAATTACTAACAAAAATTATCTTTAATAATATGAAGTCTCTGATATCGTGTAATTATTAGGGAAATGTTACTTGTTTTTGGTTTTTCTTAATTTACTTACTTAGAATTCCAGAATTCTGTATGGTGGGTGTTAAAAGCACCATTATTAAGTTCAATTGTTTTGCTATAAGTGCAGTGGAACTTCCTCCCAAAATCAGTTCGCAGTACAGTGGCGCATATTTTTTTTGACACGTGTTTTTCAGTTTTATTTGCAAATCTCAGTTATTAAATATTAGCAATATGACTTTATTTTTCTTTCACATATACTACTGATCATTAATTTTAAAACCTGTATGTTTTGAAAAATATTTGATACTTTAAAGAAAAATGATTTGTTCAAAAAGTTGTGAAAATAAATTTATTTATAATTATTACTTGAACAGTGTGAATAAACAGTTTATATTTAATAAAAGCGTGAAAATTGCTCGACATACAATACTTTGTTGAATATCTGTTCGCTAAAATTGCATATTTCGTGCATTTGGCATGGGTTCAACTAATTTTTTTCAGGTAAGAATCTTCCATTCCTATGTAAGAATTGTTTTTAATAGACTTTCAAAGAAGTATAATTTTTCCATATTCTTTTCTTGGTACTATCCCGTTATGCACCTATCAGAATTTTGACAGGTTTTTTTTATTATCGTTAACAGTTTCAAATTTAAGAATAGTTTATAGATATGCAAACACACACACAGCAACAACCCAGATTGTATTGTTGTTAGATGTTAGTGTATGTATTTGACTTCTCTTTCCCAGGCGACAAAAAAGCGTGGCATATGCATAATGTACTCTTTTCTCTAACTTCCTCCATACATGTACCATAGGATTTAAATCTGAAGAATATTGAAAAGTTTCGAAAACTTCAAGACAGTTGTATAAAAGCCACTGAGTGTATAGGTTCACATACAACCTATACACTCAGTGACATATAGTGAATGTATAGGTTGTACGTTCAGGATTGTTTTCTTGAAAGAATTTGGATACAGAACCATGAATAGGTATTTCTTCAGCTGAAGCAAAGAGGTAAATATACATCCTTAAACCTAGAATCAAATTAGCTACAGTGCTTCCAAAAGTGTTTCTACACTTAAGAGTTTCAATGACATACTGCTTTATTCATTAATGAAAATTAATATTTGAGAATCAGAAATTTTTAATAATATCCATAAATTTCTCTTAGTAAAAATATATTAGTTATTTTATGAACACAATGAAATTTTTGGTTGATCTTTACATTACGGTAACTTGGCGATTTTTTGGCGAAAATTTGGCGACCAACTCCCCTACAGCAACCCTCTATTTTTTTTCCCCCGCCGCCATTTTGTCTTCACGAAGTAAAGACATGTTTCTTTTCTTCTTATCTACTGAACACTTCTTCCAACAATCTACTAGCCGAATTACACTTATGCTAGAAATTTTATCAAACAAAACTGCTTAATCATGACAAATATTCACTGCAAAATTCGGAAAAAGTGCACAATACCATACACCTTACGCGTTTTTCAAAATAACACATACACATAAACCATGTACACGCCGACTTATTTTTACTTAAAAAAACATCCCAGAATTGCATAAAAATGGCATTGCGCACACTCTTCACTATATCCATGTACACTGCTTTTTTCTCATAAATTCGAAAAATTTCACGAAAATACATGACAATTTTCTCAATCTTTAAACCCGGTAAAAAGAACATATATGAAATTACCTGATCGCGAAAAAGTATTTACCCTTTACAAATATGAACATTTCCACATATAAAATATCCAAAAACTTTTACCTCTAAATCATCTATTACATTATACACGTCACCAACGAATTCATACATGAAGCATTACAAATATTTAGTATCAAATATTTAAATTATTTCCATGCACGTTTATTTCAACTTAAACGTAAACCAAATTCCTACAAGCATAAAATTCACCAAATAACTATCATTTCATTAAAATATCACTGAACCATGTACACGTCGACTTATTTTTACTTAAAAAAACCTCCCAGAATTGCACAAAAATGGCATTGCGCACACTCTTCACTATATCCATGTACACTGCTTTTATCTCATAAATTAAAAAAATTTCATGAAAATACATGACAATTTTCTCAATCTTTAAACCCCGGTAAAAAACATATATGAAATTACATGATCGCGAAAAAGTATTTACCCTTTACAAATATGAACATTTCCACATATAAAATAAATAAAATATCCAAAAACTTTTACCTCTAAATCATCTATTACATTATACACGTCACCAACGAATTCATACATGAAGCATTACAAATATTTATTATCAAATATTTAAATTATTTCCATGCACATTTATTTCAACTTAAACATACACCAAATTCCTACAAGTATAAAATTCACAAAATAACTATCATTTCATTAAAATATAATTAAATTCAAAAACACCACTTAAAATATACATGAGCACATACATTCAATTAATAAAAATTACCTTACAATCCTAATTACTTTAAAACTAAATCATTGCTAATAACAATTTTCCCAATAATACCAAATTCCTTTCCACCTTACATTTCCAACAATGCATAAAAATAATTAAAAATACTAACTTACCTAATCTCCTTCAGAATCTTCATTACGTGGCGGGTACACTTTTCTTCATTCTCTTTCAGAATCTTTAAAATCATACTTATCTTTCAAAGCAAGATACCAGGTAAAATAAATAACATAATAAAACATGTTTATTTCTCTCTCACACAACCTTAAAAAACATTTCTTACTATCCTTTTCAATACCACTAAATACCCATTTCGAATTCACTTTACTTACGGCCATGGGATCCAAAAATTCACAAACACTATTTCACACAACACAGAATAAAGCGAAATACAAAATTTCCAGATTTTTTCCCGATTTCCCCCCTTTTCCGATTAAAGAACCGTAATTCGTCCATTAATATCACATGACATATCCCATGATCTCTCGTTTCCCCCACACAAAATAATGCGTAATCGGAACTCAGTACTGCTCACATTATTACCAAAGTCCCAGGTAGTAACCTTTATCGCCTCCAAAATGTCGCCAAACTACCAGTTACCGTAATGTAAAGATCAACCAAATTTTTTTTTGGAAAATCAGTAATCAAAAAGTAACAGAAAAGTTATCTTGCAAAAGTCTCTATACACTTTAAGGAAATTTACACATATTGGTAAATATTATACAGTCAAAAGTCTTTAATCCAGACGTCCATAATCCGGAATGATCTATAATCCGGACCTCAAAGCTACAAACTTTCTGTGCATGCGTCAACGCATAATGCGTTCACGCAGGTGCACAGGCTTTTACGCATGCGCATAATATGTTTACATATGAGCATTTAATGTGTAACGGATGGTATAAGCTAAGCTAAAATTATCTAATTATCTATTTCAGTTAATGTTGCAGATTGTGTTGTTCCTTAATCTTCTAATTTTGAATCCGGCTTATTATTTTTTGCAAACTGTTAGAGAAATTTTATAAAAGTAAGCTTGAACTTTCGATTATGTCAAAAAGAATTTCCGATTCTGGAGCTACCAAAGGATCTACAAAGCGAAAAGCATGTTCCGATGTCCATCAAACAAAAAGTGGAATTGCTGCAAAAAATGGATAGGGCAGATGTTTTTATTTTATTCAGCTTATAATTCCTTACTAAATGTAGTATTTCATCTCGATGTACTCCATCTTTAATATGATTTAAATCAAATTCCTCGTCATTATAAATATCACGAATACACATCAAATAGTTTTCTGGTTGCAATTTTCTAATTTCGACTATGCGTAATGTATGCTTTACGCATGTGCGCATTGAAAGAAATGTTTAATAAAGTAAACAGATAAATATAAAGCTTTTTTTTTTTTGTAAATTTTGATACCCTTTAGATCATAATTGCTCTTTATTTCATAAATTATGGTTTCATATTTTTTATTTTATAATTTCTGCTTTCCATCTTACCAGATTTAAACTGATGATCTATAATCCGAAAAAGCGATGGCTGATCTTTGGAATATGGTAACAGGTAGTTTGGCGACATTTTGGAGGCAATAAAGGTTACTACCTAGGACTTTGGTAATAATGTGAGAAGTACTCAGTTCTGATTACGCATTATTTTGTGTGAGGGAAATGAGAGATCATGAGATATGTCATGTGACATTAATGGACGAATTACAGTTCTTTAATCGGAAAAGGGGGTAAATTTGGAAAAATATCTGTAGTACTATATTATTTTGTATTAAGCTTCATTGTGTGTTGTGTGAAATAGTGTTGATTAATTTTCGGATTGCATGGCGCTATGTAAAGTGAATTCTAAATTTTTAATGTGTTTATCTGATAATTCAAAAGAATTGGTTGAATGGGGTAAGAGTGTAGGTTTAATTGCGGATAAGTATGAATGTCCAAAATGTGGGAATGAAATGAGATTGTGTGAAAGGAAGGATATTACAGATAAGTTTGAATGGCGGTGCAAGAAATCTGGTGAAAATGGACATTTTGTGAAACGGAGTGTAAGGAAGGGTACGTGGTTTGCTGAAAGCAGTTGAGTATGGGTGAAATTTTATTAATTTCTTACTAGCGGGCAAGACCGCCAGCTGAGCGGGCTGAAGCCCGCTATTCATTGTTCGTGTGTATAAAAGTTCCTAATGTAATTTCGCGGGTATTGGAAATTTGAAACGAACTACCAGTGTCCAGCGGTTTCGCGCTGTCTGTGCCCGCTTTATTAAAGTTTGCATCCAGAATACACTGCATACACGATACACATGCGTAAAATCACGAAAACACCCATGCAGCCAGCCCGCAAATTTTCGGGATTCGAAAGTTGGAACGAACTAACAGTGTCCAGCGTTTACCACACATGCAGCCAGCCTGTTCGCCGGGAC